TTAATTTTTAATTGGTCCCCGAAAATGCACATTTTTTTGCATGCCTTTATAATAAAATTAAAAAAAAAAATTACTGTATTTGTAAAAATATAAATTATATACTACGTCTTGACATATCACAGAGTCAGTGAAACTATTGGTTTGCAAGAATTAAAGTCATTTTTAAATCAGCGCTATAGTCATTTTTTAAACTTCTAAACTTCTTTTATTCTTTACTTTTGCTTTACTTTTTCTAAACTTCTTTTTAAACTTCTTTCTAAACTTGTTTTTAGTTTGTCCCCGAAAATGCACTTTTTTTTTCTGGTTCACGAAAATGCATAATTTTTTGCATGTCTTTATAAGGAAATAAAGTATAAAATCTCAGAAGTAATAACATTTTTTATTCGTGTATCTAAGCCTTCTCATTCGTGTCATTTCATTCGTGTATCTAGGCCTTCTCATTTTTATATAAAAAATAATTATTTCTAAGTTATGCGTTTCAGTCAAATGATTAGTTATAAGACTTTTTTTTTTATTATTTCTACATTGATTTTAAGAGAGCGTTTCGATAGCAAGTTATAATTGGACGTATTTTTGATGGTGTAAGATAAATTTTTGCCGCTGGTATATTTAATTGTAGACTTTTTTTTCAGATGTGCTCAGAAATGTTATTCAAATTTGTTATTTATTTGAGTGTTGCAATCAAGTAACACTAGATAAACACGTTGAAAAAAATCTGAGATTAAATAATTTTTAATATACTTTGTGCGTCTATCTTTGTTGTCAATTTTAATGGAGTTAAACCTAATTTTTGAAGAGCGACCTTAGGTACAATAGCTTGTGATTTTAGTTTCAATTAAAAAAATTTATTGTACCTAGAGCCACAAATTATTAGGCGCTTTTACATGACGGAGATTTATAATTCAATACTTTATACTTATATTAATACAAATTAATTAATATAGAGATGTGATCATATCAGTTTTGCTATTTTTAAACAAGCCTTGACTTTAGACATTTAATAAATCCGTTAAAAAATCCTTGTGCGAAGTTTTTAAAACCATCGTCTAAATTTAAAAGATTTAGGTTTGTGTAAACTTTTTTTTTTTTTTAATGAATTGCTAGTTTAATTTGATAAAAGTTCATAAATGGCTTCCTTGTTATGACTTGTTCTGTCAAAGAGCATAATCAAGGAAACTGTGTTAACTAAATTAAACAAACTTTATTTTGTCTTTAAAAATAAAGCCGATCTTGATACCAAAACTAGTAAAAACAGGCGCTCTAACTACTGAGCTTTAACTGGAAATTTTCTATAGCTGGAGTGGCTATAAAATTGTCAAGAAAATTCTTAATTCTCATACTTTGGTTTGCAAAATGTAAGTCATTTTTAAAATGACGCTAAAGATACTAAATTTTTCAAATTAAGTTTGTTTTACTATTTGTCCCCGAAAATGCACATTTTTATGCATGTCCCCGAAAAAACACATTTTATTGTAGGTCCCCGTAAATGACCATTTTATGTTTAAAAAATTTACGGGGACCATTTTTTACAAAAAATTTATATATTTAGTTGTCATTAAGTCTATAAATTAACCTCATGTTGCCGTGTAAAAAAAAAAAAAGAAAAAAAATTTTAAACAAAGTTTTCATAGAAAATTTTTAAATTCAAATTTGTCCCCGAAAATGCACATTTTTACAATGTCCCCGTTAATGATCAAAAAGGAGTGTATATATATATATATATATATATATATATATATATATATATATATATATATATATATATATATATATATATATATATATATATATATATTTATGTCACTCTCCATGAAATAATCTGAACATATAACATCAGATTTACTCGGTTTTTAATAATCAATGCATTTATAAGGTTTTTGCATTTTTTATTTATCAAGCGAAATCTGTGTTTTAAGCGCATATAAGTTTAACGCAACTACGGATTTATAAATTCTGGGGCTTTCCAATATGGCGTCTTTTGGCTTCAAAAATTTCGAAATTTTATAAGGAGATGCGCTATCCAGTTCTTATAGAGATCAGTGGATCGTTCCTGCAACTTTTTTTGTTGTCTACCGGAAATTCGGGTCAAATGAATCCTGAAACAACAGGGATTTTTTTGGCCTTTATTACGGCAAGCAAAATAAATACATTCCAATAACGATTGATCAAAAGGGTTCTTTCGGTACCGTTTACTTTAAAAAAAGAATCCTGATTTAATAGCGGCGTTTTTAACATGACGGAGGAGAGCTAAGTCTTAAACATTGTTACAGCCGTGTATGTTTTTCTATAAAGGCAATGTTTTTTTTTATGTAGAACTTATATATACATATTAGTATACTGTAAATTTAAGTTTAGTATTTTTTAGAATATGAAACGGAATTTTTCTAATTTCTTAGAATATTATGGGTGAATCAGTAGTCAGACGAGAAAGTTTCGAAATACCTGAATGATAATTTAAAGATAATTTAACTTTTTTGATAATTATTCTGAAAAATATGTTTGATTTTGAAACTTTTTTAACAACTGGGGTACTTAAAAGGGTTTTAATAAAAATTAAACAAAAAATAAATAAGTTAGATTAAGTTAAAAACATACTCTAAAATATTTTTTTTTTTTTAATTGTACTGCATCCCATCATGCATCCGCGAATGCTAAAAAATTAATACTAGCAAAATTTATTTTTTATTAAATCGGCTAATTGATAATTAACAACTCCTTAAAACTACGCTAAACCTCCGATGGAGAAAGAAGATTTTTTAAACTATGCTCGCCACAATCAAAACAAACTAAGCTTTTAAGTATAACTTTTTAAGATTCAAACATGAGTAAAAATAGCGTATTTTTTTGTTCATTTGACAAATATTTTTTGATTTTATTATATTATTGTCTTTAGATTGGCTCTCTCTCTGTCTCTCTCTCTCTCTCTCTCTCTCTCTATATATATATATATATATATGTATAAATACATATATATATATATACATATATATATATACATATATATATATATATATATATATATATATATATATATATATATATATATACATATATATATATATACATATATATATATATATATATATATATATATATATATATATATATACACACACATATATATATATATATATATATATATATATATATATATATATATATATATATATATATATATATATATATATATATATATATATATATATATATGTTTATAAACATATTAACTATTTTAATATGTTTATAAACTTTTATACTCTACTACTTATGCTATACTTTTATATTGAAGCCATATGTAAAGGTATAAACTTATATAAAACATTTTCATATTGTAGGGATTTAGAGTAAAAATATTCAGGCATATTTCATGTTTTTTTTTTTTTTAATTTTAATTCATCTCCTCAAGGCCGAGAAGGCCACTACAGACGAGGAGGCTACTTATTCGTGGCTATAACCCTCTCTCAACTCTATAACTCCGAAACACGAACCTTGACGAACAAGGCCGCTGCGCGGAGAAACGAGTTGAGCGCGGTACTACCAGGGACGTGGTGGGGATCGAACTCGGAACCACTCGTTTATGAAGCGAGCGCTCTACCACTACACCACTACGCATATGTAATAATAATAAAAAAAGTATTAAATGATCAAGCTATTTGCAGTGAAAGTTTTTTAAATTTAATCTTATTAGCAGAAAATAAAAGTTTACATTAAGGTTAAGTTAAAAATTACTAATAAAATTAATAGACTCATAAACAAATATTTTGGATCACTGTTTTCTCTGGTTTATGCATTATCAAAAATCTTCCTAGTATACCGTCTACCGCTTGTTTATCATGTACCTGTTTTTGTGCAAAATCATCTTCTACATTCGTACCCTAATCGTCTGATTTCGTAACCTGAACTGTAACCGCAAAAAACTAGGGTGAAATAGTTAGCATTTTAAATGTACATTCGTAAATCAAAATTGGAATTACGCAGAACATCTTACATATATAGGATTTTCTGAATGGAAGTTTTCTAAAATTTCCTGTACCATCCATGTTTATTTTTGACAATAAAAAACTAGTAACGTCGTGACATAACATATGCAGTGGTTTTTACCAGCTCTGTTCCTACTTTTACACAACCATACTAGCGTTTACAAAATGTATTTAAACTGTTTACAAAACTTACAAAAAATGCTCTTGCCGCACGACTTTTATAACGAGAGAGCAGCAACTTATATTTTTTAACTGTGTCAAAGTCGTCATCAATAATTTCTAAAACATCGGAGTTTATTGATTTGTTGGGATTTAGGAAGGTAGATTGTCGCAATAAGAGCTATTTAACTTTCATGAAATAAAATAGCGCACCCGATACTTGTTTATTATTTATTTATCAATCGTTTTGCTTTGAGTTGCTGTAAGGAGGTGAATCTTGAAAACGCATTTAAGTCTAATTTAATTATTTAGCCAACGACTTATCTTAGTCAATATTGTAAACGTTTGATTGACGTTTAATAAATATAAATATTAAAAGATTTAAAGCGTATATTTTAAATCTTTAAATGTTTAGTTTAATTAAGGTCTATTAAAGGTTTATAATATTGTTTAATGTTAGTCGATATTCTAAACGTTAGATCGACGTTTAGTAAACTTATATATAAAAAGTTTGAAATATACACTTCAAATGTATATTTCAAACCATTTCTGAACCAATCTGTGTTTACTGGGTTGCTTTTGAAAAAAAAAATTAAATCAGAATATTATTGTTTTAACTATAGTTGTTTTTTATTATTTTATGCATTTTTTTATTTTACATATTTTATATTTATAATGACAAGCACAGTCTCGTTTTCACAAAACCTACCTGGTTTAATAGATAAAAATATTTATTGGCAAGAAATACAAAGACCCAACTTTGCAATAAAGTTAGAAAAAATGTCAACTAATTTAAATACCGCTTTAATTGTATATGCAAACATAAAAACTTCAGTTGTCCAAAAAATAAAAAGTTTCTTTAAAAATTTAAAAATAAAAAAATACAAAAGTTAAAACCATAATAAAAAAATATATAATTTATTGTTAGTATTACAATACTAATAAATATAAACAAATAATTGAAGAAACTTTATATGTTACTTGAGATAAGTCGTTTAAGTTTTTTAAGTTATGTAATATGAACCATAAAAATGAACCAGAAAAATATTTCATAATGGGATGACTAAATAAGTGCAAGTTTCATACGTGCAAACTAGCATAAGTGCGAACTAGCATAAGTGCGAACTAGCATAAGTGTAAACTGGCGTAAGTGCGAAGCAGTTGCAAAAACTGGCATAAGTGCAAACTAGCATAAGTGCGAATCGGCACAAGTGCGCCAAAAGAATTTGCAAACATTGGCACAAGTGCGAACTGGCATAAGTGCAAATTCGCACTTACGTCATTTGCACTTATGCTAGTTCGCACTTATAAAATTCGCACTTATTTAGTCGTCCCATTACAATATATTTCTCTGTTTCATTTGCTTTTGGTTTAGGAGATTCATTACAAAAAATATTTACTTTTGAAAGAAGTAACTTTATTGATTTTATTTGCAAACAAACTTTACATCAACTAATAAAAAAAAAATGAAAATATTTTAAAACTTTACTTAATTGTTTTTTTTTTTGCGTCAACAAAAATAATGACATTTTGATAAAAAAATCATAACAACCTCAAATCTAATAACTCGAGAAACCAATTTCATTTTGAATAAATTTTCTCTATACATACTGGCCTAGAGGTTGAGCAAAAAAATTAATTAATTAACAGAGCTAAAACTCATTTTTGTGTCAATTTTGTAAATATTATATTAAAAGGTGTTTTTTTTTAATTTATTTTGTCTTTTAGTAAAACAGTCATATAAATATACAGTAAGATAAAGAAACTGGTTCTACCATCCTATAAAGAAATTTTCAAATAAATTGAGAATCTTTTGGCCGAGTTATTATGTTTGAAGTGGAAAAAAAAGAAGAAAAATTGTAAGTGTCACAAAAACCACTTTAAAAATAAACTATGGTTAAAAGCTACAAATCCAATTCTAAATGAAAGTTGGTCAACAAAACATCATTTGCCATTCAAGATAAAACCTGGTCAACCAAATATCATATCCCACTTTAGATGAAAGCTAGTCAACCAAACATCATTTCCCATTACAGATGAAAGCTGGTCAACCAAACATCATTTGGGAATTATTCTTTTTCTTATTTCAATTTTAATTCTCGTTATAACAGGAAAAACTTGATTGGAACCTGGATTTCATTTTAGCTCATTGCAGACTGGATTAAAGGTTATCTTTTTCAGAAAGTAAATGTTTTCCTTTCTTTTTAAAATTTATTACGACTAAGTTTAAAATACATTTGAACGTCTCTTTCCTTATGTTAGATTCTTTCTATTTCCCTTTTATTTACTTTAAAACAATTTGAAAATTAAAGAGATTTGTTTAAATAACACAATAGAAAATAATCTTACCAATCATCTAAATGGGTTTTTAGTTGTTTTATTATGGTAACTAAGAAGTTGCTAAGGACTTGTTTGTTTATCTACCTAACTAATAGGTTAAATATTGCTAAGTATATTTAACAAAAGGTAGAACCTTTTTAAAAAAACTATATTAGAGTAAAATTTTCTATTTAATGAGATAATAATATTTTTTTTAAAACGAAGTCGAATCGAAAATATTTGTTAAAATTTAGTTACGAAGTTTAAAGAATAGTACTACTCGTTAAATGAAAAGTAAGAAGGGAACAAATTCCAAAAAACTGATGTTCGAGGAAAAAAATTAGACAAGTAAGAATATTCGCAGCACTTAGGAACAGTAGCAGTATAAAGATGAGACTTAATTGAATGACTAGTAACACGGGAAAGAGTTTTGATAGATGGCGCAAGAGATGCTAGCTTTTTAGAGCAGCGTCCATTAAAGTATTTATTTAAAATGAATCTTAATATTAAAAATATTAATATTAAAGCTATTTATATCTTAATATTTATTAGCTAAACATTTTTAACATACTTTGTTTCTCATACAAATGTTAAAGTAACGCATCTCCTATTTTTATTCATAACCTTACCTTAAAAGATAAAAGTAAAAACAACTTAAGAAATTATAATTTAACTCAACAACCATTTTTTCAAACTAATTTTGGGAAGTCAAGTATCATTTCAAGAAGCTTATCTTTGGAGCAGAATATTTTTGAAAAACTTTGATTTTTTCCTTCGAATAGAATTGCACAAAAAAATCTAAAAGAAATAATTTTATCTATCGAAGATCCATTTTTATGTTTTTAACACTTTTTTGTCAAATGAATATACATACATATGTTATATAATTTATAGTAGTATATCGTTTTTAAGAAAGTAGTATTTTAGAATGTATATTTTAAATAAAAATAACAAGAATATATATTTATACAGGGCCGTCTTGAAGGGAAAGGGGGGTGTTCAACTCCCTCCTTCCCCCCCCCCCCTTTCAAAGGTGTCATATAAGCATTTAAGTTGGCACATTGAGCATGTTTTGAACTATAGTTGGCATATTGCAAATATTGAGAACCTTTTTTTTTTTTTTTTGGTCTATACAGTGGCGGGTTAAGACTTCTTGGGGCCCGGGGCTATCCTAAAAATGACTTAAAAAAAAAAAAAAAAGGTCCTCTAAAATTTTGCAAGGCTTGGGGCTATAGTCCCCCTAGCCCCCCTTGATTCGGCACTGGGTATATATATATGTATATATATATATATATATATATATATATATATATATATATATATATATATATATATATATATATATATATATATATATATATATATATGTATTTATATATATATATATATATATATATATATATATATATATATATATATATATATATATATATATATATATATATATATATATATATATCGAAATTCATATTGAAGATCAGAAAGTAAGTTTTATGAGATTCAAGATGAGAAATAAAGTGTTTGTTAACTAAGACTTAAAAACCTTGCTTATGATAGTAAGAAGACTAATATGACGGCAGTTTAACTAGTCAGATTGCTCTCCAGAACTTTTGAAAATAGGAACAACAGATGCTGAGAAGAGGGGGCAGTAAGTTTAAATTATTACTAACACTACTTTTCAAAACTTTTCATAACATCAATAAAATGCTACATACAAAAAATAACATAATAAAACCAATAAATAATTCATTATTATTTATGTAAGATGTTTAAATAAGCAGTTAAATAAAGCAGATAAATTAGTAACATGAGCTATGAATCATTACCCCAAATAGGGGTAAAATTAAATACAAACACTTGCATCTAGATTTTGAACAAAGTGCAGATGTTTTATTTAACTGATGATCACACCGATGTGTTACACAAAATACGAAATCATTTTAGTATTTTTTTTTTGTTTGTTTTTTTTTTTTAGGAAAAAAATGTAAAACATATTTTTTAAAGTTGTAAAACGCAACTTTTTTATATCGTAGACATATTTGAAAGAATAGATATATTTACTAAAGCAGCAGTATTTGATAGCCTAATACGAGTAGTTTAAAAGTTGTATCCTAGTAAAGCTATTTCATCTGCCCTAATTAAATATTAGAAAAACATTATTAGAAAAGAAGAAGAGCGTTTCCAATTGTTAATACTAGTGTAAAGTTAACCAAAACTTTGTTTTTGTGTTTTAGTTATTTGAAAATGCCATTTAAAATTAATTAACACAATTTCCTTTTTTACAAAATTTTCATATTGATATTTTTTTTTACCGAAATGATTTGACTAAAAACGTATAATTTCTTGTGAAAAGTGTTAAATTGCTACAAGTCTTTGTGATTGTTAAATATTTCAGAATAATTAAACTTGCTCTGTAGTCTGCAAGCCACTGCACAATGCAAATTTATTGTAAATGTCGACTGTTTTTTAAAGGAAATGAAAACATTTAAACAAGGTCCAAGGTTTTTTTCGCGTCACAGTAAGGAAGGAGGCGTGAACTTCCTGGTTAAATGCAATTCCGCGGTGCTGTGTGACAAGACCGTTAGGTTTTCTTGGGGCACCTTAATAACAAAAAAAAATTATAATAATTTTTTTTATTTTTCTTTATTTACTTTACTTAAGTGCGACATGACATTTGAACTTTTCATTTATCACAGAACATCTAAAACATTACCACTAGTCACTGAGCCCAACCTTTCACGACATATTTAAATTAATTAAAAATTATTTGACTTAGTGGCATGCAGCGTCTTAGTGGTAAGCAACTCGAGAGTGTTCTAAATATCTTGTGACAAATTCAAGTTTGAATTTAAAGCCATACTTAATTTTAAAAAGTTGCTTGACGATTTATTTTATAACTGTTGCCGTAATACCTAATATCAAAAATGTCGCACAACAACTTAAATCTTATATATCGTGTGTCAGGATTTTCGACATAGCAGTTTTTATTAAACAATATGAAGTAATTTTTATTTACAGTGTACTAATAAAATTAATTTCCTTCTTAAATCAAGGAAACTGTCTGCAACATTTGTAACAATGAGAAAAACAGCTTTGTCAAAAGGATTGCTGACTCGATATTTACAGTGACTCTAAGAGACATTAATTTGACCACGAGGTTTGAAAGATACAAGTGAGAAAATGTAAATTAAAAAGCATAAAATCTAGTATTAACGCGTTTTTAAACATCAAATATTGACAAGCCTATGACCATTACAAATGTTGGCCAGTGACGGATCCAGTAGTCTTGGGAAGAGGGGATGATGTTATGCATTCCCCCATCCCCCCTTCCCCACCAGAATATAAAGTTCCTAAAATTAGAAAAGTTCTTAGAAATTGAGGAACTTTTTTTTTAAGAGACGCAAATGTGGTACAAAATGCAAAAATATTTCAACACCTCCCCACCACCATCACCATCACTAAAAATTCCTGTATCCGTCACTGATATTGGTTTACATTAATTGAATTTACTTTGCCAACAATTAGTGAATTTTACTTAAACTCTTGTTGGTTACTACGTTAATTACTAGGTTGGTTACTATGTTATTGATTATGCTGGTAACTATGTTAATTACTATATTTGTGGCTATGTTGGTAAAACTAAATGTTAGTTATTATATTTCTTAACCTTCTGTTATATCATACTTTTTATTATAACTTACTTATTGCATATATGTCATTGTATAATATATAATAATATAATGATTCTTAAAACAATGCGGTAGTGGTGTAGCGAGAAGTTCCGAGTTTCATCCCCATCACGTCCCTGGTAGCACTGCGCTCAACTTGTTTCTCCGAGAAGCGGCCTTATTTGTCAAGGTTCGTGTTTCGGAGTTATAGAGTTGAGAGAGGGCTGTAACCACAAAATAGCTTCCTCGACTGTAGTGAATAATTAAATTAAAAAAAAAAAAAATACTTTACTCAGTTACAAACAACAGTTGATATTAACTTGATACAGCGGGTGACGCTACTCTAGCATGATAGAGTTCTAACATTGCTTACTAAAATTTTTTCATTTTATGGTTTTTTCATTTTATGGTGATATATATGTATCGTTTATGTTGATAGCTTATTATTGATTGTTATGTTTTAGTTAGCTGCAAAGCTTTGATATGTAGTTACTGATATTTTGATGTAGTTACTGATATTTCGATGTAGCTACTAATATTTGATTTAGTTACTGATATTTTGTAACTATATTGTTAGCTACCAAGTTACAATATTTAGCTACCTATAAAACCTGTTCAAATTGCGATATTTAAAGTTTAATTATTCTCTTCGATATATTAGAAACAATGCTTAACATATATTTTTATAAAGAGGTAAATGAGAAAATTAAACAATAATTAAAAATATATATAAATGAAATAGAAAGAATGGGAAACTTTAGTTTAGAGATATAGTTGTAAACTGGAATTTAAAATCTACTTGAAAGCTGTCTTTCTACGAAACTTTTTATACTTAAGATAGCCGTCATGCAGTCATCATGCTGATTACCTTAAGAAGAAAAAAAAAAAAGAAATAAACGTTTAAACTTTAAAAAAATATATATATATATAAATATACTTAAGTAATGTATTTATAGCACGAATATAATGCTGAAAATATTTGGCATAACATAAATGGCAATTTATAATATATTTGAAACTTTTTTGAAAAAACTCATTTGCGGACGTTTTGGTTCAAGTTTCAATAAATTTGTGTATTGCTTGAAAAAACCTTTTAGGAGTTTATAAGCCAATATGACCTCCAAGACTGCCGTTCTTATCTTTACAATAAACTAATATATCTGAAATTATTATTAGAAAACCTCATTCTAAATGTATATTGAAAAACAAAAACTAAAAACCCTCACAACTAACTTTAAAACAAAGTAAATGTTAGATTTTATTTATATTTCGTACATGTCTTTCATTATTTTAAATATAACAAGCCATGTAACAAAACATTTATCAGTACCAAATACATTATTTATCTGTTTTTAATTATCTAATAGTTTCTTTTATGTGACTCTAACACTAATTCTACCATGAGATTTTGTAAAACTGAAACTTTTTGTAACTTATTTATGCAAAAACATTACAACTCGCATAAAGTCTTGTCATCGATTTCTTGATGACAAGACAAAATATCTTCTGCCAGATTCCTGCGTTCTTTTAATACTAGCGGTAATTTTTGTACTTATTATTTGTGCTAAAAATGTTGTTACTTATATTAAAGAGTTTTATTATATGGGTAAAATGAGCAGGGCCGTCCCGAGGGGGTGTAGGGGTGTCTAGCCCCTTTACGAATTTTATTAGTCGACATATTGTCACTAGGGTCGGCAAAATTGGATTTATAGTTGGCAAAATTGGATTTATAGTTTTTTTCAGAAAAATTAGCGGGCAAAACATTTTTTTGGCTTTAGTCGGCATAAAACAGACACGGTCTGCCTATTATACTTTTCATAAAGAAAAGTATAATAGACTTCGTGAATAAAAAAAGCAATTGCTTTTACTCATTAATTGGTCAGTTTTACGTGAATACTTCAGGAGTTTTCGACAAATTTTTATTCACGTAAAATTAAGCATTTTACTCAGTAATTGCTCAGCTTTACGTGAATAAAAGCTTAAGCAAAATTGCTAAAATTTTTATTCACGTGAAGCTAACCAATTACTGAGTAAAAGCAATTGTTTTTTTAATTCACCCGGCCTAATAACTAGAAATCCTTTCCGTTTATGCTTGAAAAAAAATGCACAAAAACATTTATTTTTGAATTTATTTAAAGATTTCAAATTTGTATAACATGAGCATGTTCAAATTACCCAGTGTTTTTTTATTGAAATTACCTGGTTTAAATTCTTAAAACTGTAGTGGTTTTAATTGACAATTTAAAACAAAACATAGTTAAAATTTTTAATATTGCAATAATATTAAATATCTTTCTGTAATTCAAATTGCAAAATTTAAATTCAAAAAATATGTTTATCGTTCAAAGGTTTGAGTTAACATATTGAAAAAATCAAAAACTAATTATAATTTTTTTTTTTTTTTTTTTACATTTTTTTTCACGTAAATAAAGCAGTATTGTTTCAATAAATAGTTTTTAATAACAATCATTTAAAACTTATTATTAAAAGTTTTTAATAATTGTTATTAAAAACTTTTAATAACAAGTTTTGTTAATAACGGAATCATTGTATTCCATAAATTATTTCTAATTGTCAGATAGGAATTTTTTTACTTAATAAATTATTTTTTTTTTGAGCTAATTTATAGTGCTCATATTATTCGCTACTTTTTTAAAACCTTTGTGTTTTTTTCAAGTAAAACTTTTGGGCGCCAAAATTTTTAAGTGGATCATGAGTAGTGATCACTAAAAATTGTTTATTCGCGAAATTAAAAATTCGCAAACATAATTATTTTTGAAAATATTATAAATTTTGCCTAAAATGCTCTTTATACCCTGATCTTTTTATTTATTTATTTTATTTTTCATTTTTTTATTTTTTTAGGTGCTCCCAGAAGTCCTAACGGTCTTATCACAGAGCACAATCTACCCTATATAGTATTTTATTTTAACTTATACGTTGTTAATGAATCAGTTTTTACTTACCATTGCGAATTTGTAACGTTTTGTACCAACAAAACCTGAAGTTATGAAAGATTGTACTGTTCCATTCAAGAAAGATGAAAGTATATCATTTATATTATTTGTTCCAAACAAAAACTCTAACATTCTTTGTTTTGTTTTTTCTTTGTGTGTATGGTTTTTAAAATATAAGTCTATACGATTAACCTGACTTTTGAATTAACCTGAAAAAAATCAAGTTCAATTTCGTTAAAGATTTTTTTTAGTTTATTTTTTTTCGTATGTCTATTAAGTCTATGAGGAAAAGCTTAACAAATTAAAAATAAACAAGGCGACAAGTGCTGACGACTTTGACGACCACTTTGCATAATTAAAGGCTGAACTATCTTGCATAATTCAAGGCTGCACTATGTTATTTTTTAAACTTTGAGTTTTATCATCAATTTTTCTTTTAAAACAGGAAGTCGAAAACTATCGATACTTTTGTCTGTTTCAGAAATCTTAGAAAAAGCAGTTCACGATCAACAGTCGCAGCATTTGGAAGAATATCAATTTTTTTTTGACTCCCATTTCGGCTATAGAAGTATTGCTCAACAAAACTGTCAATTACTTTTTTCTTCAAATAATATCGGGAAAAAAGTAGACACAAGAAAACTAGTGATGGTTAAATTTCTAGATTTATCTTAAGCTTCCAATACATTAAACCAAATTGTCGAACTCATTAAATTAATTTCTTTTGGTATACTAAAAATTGAGCTTAAATAGATAACTGAGTATTTATATTACCGTTCAGAAGTAATCTCATTTGAAAGAGAGATATCAAATAAATGATGTTTATTACATAATATCTAGACAAAAAATGTTCTATCCTTGTATCCACAGTTATCCACTGACAAGGATAAACCACAAATATGTTCTATCATTGTACCATTGTTTTATCTAATTTACTTTATTGATTATAAAGAAAGTTTATATATACTGATGACGTTTTTGATGACGCCGTAACAAATTTTGCACATAAATTTTTTAAAAGTTTGAAAAATTCCTTAAAATTTTGTCTAGAAGCTATTTGAAATTATTTTAAAAAAAAGAAAAAAAAAAGGTCCTCAAAACAACAATTAACCGACTGAATTGTGCCAAATACCCAACTATCTAAGTTCGTAAACAAACCGACTATAACTTGAAAGTCACCTTCTTTGGAGGAAAGGAGTAGACCCCTACCCCCCTCCCCCCCCACACACACACCCCTAAAATTCACGTGAATATTATTCCATTTCTTTTTCCGGTCCCGTAGAAAAACGTATGAATGAAAACCTTAACTATTGCGTAATAAATTTAAAGTTTAACAACTTTATGACGAAATTGTGCTGTTAAAATGATAAACAAGTCATTTAAAATAACAAGTCATTTTTCTTTTAAAGTGATCTAATTAACACATTTATTTCAGAATATAACGTCACTGTGGAAGATGATTATTTTAAAGCACCAATGACGTAAATAAAAATAAAAGTGAAATTGCTTGTGATTATAACTTTAGGCTTTAATTAATAATTTAAGAATGTTTTCATATTTCCAGATTTCAATATGCTTTTGTAAGAGCAAAAAGCTAATCGTTTCAGCAATTTCAGACTTTAACATTTGAATGCGTATGATGATAAAGTTCTTAAGGTCAATTTTAAGGAATGCAAAAAAACAATTTTTTTCATAATTGATTTATAGGAGACATAAAAGGATTAATTGAGTTGAATTGAGCATTCTTATTATTACATCTTTTTTTAATATTCGTTATAAGGTTAGCTTTTTAAATCTTTTTTTAATTTCGTTATAAGGTTAGCTTATGTATCATCGACAAAAATGTTGTGTACCTCATTGTAAATCGAAATTATTGTTTCACTCATTACTCTGTTGTTCACTAATCGTTCAAAAGAAAACACTTTTTAAGACGTCACTTGGCAATATCAACTTTTAATCTTGTGTATTCTAATTTAAGTGCAGCCAAAAAATATGTACTCTTGGTTTTTCTAGGAATACCTGTAATGCTTTTTTTTTTATATATATATTCAATTCAAGTGTTTAAATTTGTTGAACTTTGCTCTTCCTAAGAAAAGTAAAAAGTACGTCATCTAAGATGACATACTTTGTACGTCACCTAAGCAAGATTTAACTCCACAAAACTATAACAGGAGATTTTGTAAAAATTCATCTCAAAATCTAAATGCCAGAAATAACAATTATCAATCAAAAATCAAAAACTAAAACATTGCTAAAATAATCTGTCTCTAGGATGCAGGTAAAAAAAAACTAAATTGAAAAAAAAATTGTTTAAAAAAAACGAAAAGATTTATATTAATTTAACGCGATGCAGTCGTTGCAACAACAAGCCGTTGCACCATCTTGGTTATGATTTAAATCTAAATTTTAAAATTTTTGGATTTCAATAAAATACTTTATAAATTAATAACTTTTATTATCTATTTTCACAGCATGAGCTAGAATAACAGTAACTTATACAGTAATTTACACTTGTATAAATTTTCCTAAATAAATAAAACTACATTTAAAAAATAAAATCTTAAACTAGAATAAAATTCATAGTTTGAAACTCAATCAAAGTTTCTATTGTCGTCTAAAAGTTATGATCATTTAAAATTCGACTTAAAATGGAAGTTATGACCATGATAATTCTTAACTTTTGACAAAAAGTATTTTAAATGAAAACGGATTTTTGTTAATTATTTTTGTTTTATTTTACGATTGAACAAAAATAAATATTGAATAATATAAATAAAATGTTAAAAATGCGGTAAAACTATATTTCCTAATACAAATATTTTGATGGATAAATTATAGCTGATATCACAGATGGTAAAGAATCAAAAAGAAATAGATTTGCGCTTTTAGTTTTAGTTTAAATGAAAAAATATGCAATGAGTGATGAAGAGAAAGATTTATGTTCTTATTTAAATGCAACTAAACTTTCTGGTATCAAAGATTACCAATGATCAGATTTAGACAAAACCCATGATGTTTAGACAAAACCAAAAATCAATTATGCTTCCAAAAAACATATTTATGTTCACGTTTCTAACACTTCTGTAAAAAAATTTACTTCGGAAAAATTGATATAAAATTTTTTTTTTTAAGAAAAACTTTTTCTCAAAAATATTACTTTAGAAAAAATATGCGGGGAGGGATGAAAGGGAAACAAGGGGCATTCACTCCTATATCTTCCCACGTTGCTGTGGCTAATGCTATATATGTGTGTGTGTATATATATATATATGTGTGTGTGTATATATATATATATATATATATATATATATATATTTATATATATATATATATATATATATATATATATATATATATATATATATATATATATATATATATATACAAAATTTCTTTTAAGCACAAAATGTATAACTATTTTGATAAACTAGATAAACTTTTTTAAAACACTGTGCATATATATACAAACATATATACTGTGTATCTTTTTAATCTATTCTTTTATCACTACCTATTTTTCTTTAGTATCACTAGTTTTCTTTACTTTAAAATATTTTCTTTTAACTGGCTTGATTGCATTTTCTAATAACATTATTAATAGTTTGTGTACAGATAATTAAAAACTATGTATGGAATTTTATATCACCTTCATGGTATTTATATTTAGCAAAAGTTTAAATATTTAATTTAACTGAAAAACGTTAGTGGTAGTCGCAAAATGTATTGATTTTAATAATAAAATAATTTAAAAAAGATTTGTCTGTTGTCTACTTTAGCTAAATAGTTACATATATATATAAATATACATATATATATATATATATATATATATATATATATATATATATATATATATATATATATATATATATATATATATATATATATATATATATATATATATATATATATATATATATATATATATATATATATATATATATATATATATATATTTGAAGATCGCGCGGATTTTATCTTGGAGCTCTTTACAATATATGTTCAATATTTGATATAATAATAATAATAAGAACACTCTTGTGCAATTTTTAGTGCTCAATATTAATAAATAATAGAGATATATATTTATTTATATAAAAATGAATTAAAACAACTTATAATGGAACTCCGAGCTCCATGCCTATCGGCCATCATCCGATGCCTATCGGCGGCCATCGAGTATAATTCATAACATAAAAAGTGTTTAAATTTTTAAAGGGTTTTTAAATTAAGGAGTTTTGAAATTTAAAAACTTTTTTCTTTTTTTTAATACTTAATAGAACGTTATTAACAAGTTTAATATATATTTCAAACTTTGTTTTTAAAAACTGAAAGAGGTAAAAAAAAACATTTTTGCCTTTAGTTTTATATTTTTTAGTTCGGTTTAAAAAAACTCAAAAAGTAAAACGGTTTTAAGCAACAATATTATTTGTGGTTTACCTAAAGAACAAGAACAATGGGTCCTAAAAACTAGCACCTAATCTTATAATATATAACATATGTGAATGAATTGCACCTTCAAGAGGCTACTCTAGGAATTTTAAAAGGTGTCAAAACATGGCTTTTTAGACTCCTCCTATTTTAGTTTAAAAAAATCTCTTTTCTAATCATCAGGAAAGAGAGTGTTCAAAAAAGAGCATCAATATAAAAAAATATTCAAGTAAATATATAAAACTATTTTTCTTGAATAACTTTATTAGTGCATAAACACAAATATTTCACTTGAGTAAATAAAATTTCAAAATATTTTTTTAAGCTATCTCTTTATAGGTTCAGAAGCGGATTAAAGATTTGTTGAAAAATGGTGCTAAAATTTTATTTTCTTGTTAAAATTTTGTTATTGTCGCCATGTTGTTGTCGCCGTAAAGGTGACGGTGATAAAATTGCGGTGACGCGACGTTATTTGCATCGAGTTTACGACTTCACGTTTGCAAATGAGCGTGAAATCTAAAAAAAGGATAACTAAAATTTTTTTTTTTGTGCATCTTATTTCATTTATGAGATGTTTATAGTGAGATAATACAAAGTACAGGATTAAAATATTTCATGCAAACTCTTTAATGTGTAAAAATTAAATTAGTAAAGTTTATATTTCCATTCGCGTATGTTGACTAATATCTTTTTCTAAAATGAAAAAAAAGCTATTTTAACATTATAACTATAGTATAATAATATAAAAGGAAAAAACCAACATTCTATTGTTGTAACGTACAATGCTTTAAACAGTTTTTTTTATATTTTCCAGATGGTAACTTTTTCTTTTTCAATACTGTGTTTTTAATTTTTTTTTTTCTTTAAAAAAAAAAAACACTTAAAACTAATTAAAAATTTAAATCTATTTTTATTAATAGTTTGCTTTCTAAAAGGAAAAATCTAAATTTCAAAATATAAAATCAATTATATTATATTTTTAAAATGGAAATGACGGTTGCAAAGCTTTATTTTGCAAAGTTTTAAGACTTTGAAACAAAGATATTTTTTACAGGTTTAAAACTCTTTGATGTATTTTTTTAACTTTAAATTTTTTTTATTGATGTTTAGTTAAACCTTTCGCCATTTTTTTCACCTATTTTTCACCTATCTTGTATTAATAACAAGTCTGGCTATTGTTCATTTTTTAATTACATTTTAACTATGTTATATGTTATATGCATATATTTTTGACAAATGGAAAAACAAAAGTAGAATTTTGATATATGTTGTGCAATAAGCATTCTTATTTGAAAATACATTGTTACTTATAAAAATATGCGCATAGTTTTAATTAAAATATACGGTTATTATAAATGTTTGTATAAATAACTATAATTGAAGACTTAATAAACTATACAAAAAATTAAAGCCTTGTTACACTCGATTAACACTGTTTAACGTATAAACTGCATTCTATGTTTAAAAAGATGTCAAAAAAGTGCACCACTCAAATAAAACCTTAAAAATTTTATTGATCAACTAAATATTTGTTTAAG